TAACTCTACATACTGACTCTGTAACTCTAAATCACGTCTCTGAAACTCTACATCATGACTCTGTAACTCTAAATACTGACTCTGTATTACTCTAAATCCTGTCTCTGTAGCTCTAAATCATGTCTCTGTAGCTCTAAATACTGACTCTGTAACTCTAAATACTGACTCTGTAACTCTGTAACTCAAAATACTGACTCTGTAGCTCTAAATACTGACTCTGTAACTCTAAATCATGTCTCTGGAACTCTAAAAATTTACTATGTAGCTCTAAATACTGACTCTGTAATTCTACATCCTGTCTCTGTAACTCTAAATACTGACTCTGTAACTCTAAATACTGACTCTGTAGCTCTGAAATTGCCTCTGTAACTCTAAATCATGTCTCTGTAGCTCTAGATACTAACTCTGCAGCTCTAAATACTGACTCTGTAACTCTAAATACTGACTCTGTAACTCTAAATCATGTCTCTGTCATTCTAAATATTGACTCTGTAACTCTAAATGCTGACTCTGTAACTCTAAATGCTGACTCTGTAACTCTAAATCCTTACTCTGTAACTCTAATCATGTCTCTGTAATTCTAAATCATGTCTCTGTAACTCTAAATCCTGACTCTGTAGCTCTAAATACTGACTCTGTAACTCTAAATCCTGACTCTGTAACTCTAAATACTGACTCTGTAACTCTAAATCCTGTCTCTGTAACTCTAAATACTGACTGTGTAACTCTAAATACTGACTCTGTAGCTCTAAATACTGACTCTGTAACTCTTACACATGTCTCTGTAACTCTGTAGCTCTAAATACTGACTCTGCAGATCTAAATACTGACTCTGTAACTATAAATACTGACTCTGTAACTCTAAATACTGACTCTGTTACTCTAAATACTGACTCTGTAACTCTAACTCTAAATCTGTCTCTGTAACTCTAAATCTCTGTAGCTCTAAATCTGATCTGTAACTCTAAATCTCTGTAACTCAAAATACTGACTCTGTAACTCTAAATCCTGACTCTGTAACTCTAAATCATGTCTCTGTAACTCTAAATCCTGACTCTGTAACTCTAAATCATGTCTCTGTAACTCTACGTACTGACTCTGTAACTCTAAATCCTGTCTCTGTAACTCTAAATACTGACTCTGTAACTCTAAATACTGACTCTGTAGCTCTACATTCTGACTCTGTAACTCTAAATACTGTAACTTTAACTACTGACTCTGTAACTCTAAATACATGTACTGATTCTGTAGCTCTAAATACTGACTCTATAAATCATGTAACTCTGTAACTCTACATCCTGTCTCTGTAACTCTAAATTCTGACTCTGTAACTCTAAATCATGTCTCTGTAACTCTAAATACATGTACTGACTCTGTAACTCTAAATACATGTACATGTACTGACTCTGTAGCTCTAAATACTGACTCTGTAATTCTACAGAGTGTATCTGTAACTCTAAATACAGACTCTGTAACTCTAAATCATGTCTCTGTAACTCTAAATCCTGACTCTGTAGCTCTAAATACTGACTCTGTAACTCTTGAGCATGTCTCTGTAACTCTAAATCATGTCTCTGTAACTCTAAATACTGACTCTGTAGCTCTAAATAATGACTCTGTAACTCTGTAACTCTGTAAATAAATATGTCTCTCTGTAACTCTAAATATACTCTGTAACTCTACATCCTCTCTGTAACTCTAATCTGACTCTGTAACTCTAAATGTCTCTGTAACTTTTAATACTGACTCTGTAACTCTAAATACTGACTCTGTAACTCTAAATCCTGACTCTGTAACTCTATCTAAATCATAACTTTGAATCTCTAAATACTGACTCTGTAACTCTAAATACTGACTATGTAACTCTTATTACTGATTCTATAACTCTAAATGCTGACTCTGTATCTCTAAATCTGACTCTGTAACTCTAAATACTCTGTAACTCTAAATCTGACTCTGTAACTCTAAATATGACTCTGTAACTCTAAATATGTCTCTGTACTCTAAATCTGACTCTGTAACTCTAAATCCTGACTCTGTAACACTATATCTAGACTCTGTAGCTCTAAATCATGTCTCTGTAAATCTGAATACTGACTCTGTAACTCTAAATACTGACTCTGTAACTCTATATACTGACTCTTTAGCTCTAAATACTGACTCTGTAACTCTAAATACTGACTCTGTAGCTCTAAATACTGACTCTGTAACTCTAAATCATGTCTCTGTAACTCTAAATACTGACTCTGTAACTCTAAATCCTGACTCTGTAACTCTAAATCATATCTCTGTAACTCTAAATCATGTCTCTGTAACTCTAAATACTGACTCTGTAGCTCTAAATACTGACTCTGTAACTCTATATCCTGACTCTGTACTCTAAATCCTGTCTCTGTAACTCTAAATCATGTCTCTGTAACTCTAAATACTGACTCTGTAGCTCTAAATACTGCCTCTGTAACTCTAAATACTGAATCTGTAACTCTAAATACTGACTCTGTAACTCTAAATAACTCTTAAGCATGTCTCTGTAACTCTAAATCATGTCTCTGTAACTCTAAATACTGACTCTGTAGCTCTAAATACTGACTCTGTAACTCTAAATCATGTCTCTGTAACTCTAAATACTGACTCTGTAGCTCTAAATACTGACTCTGTAACTCTAAATCATGTCTCTGTAACTCTAAATACTGACTCTGTAACTCTAAAAATTTACTGTATAACTCTAAATACTGACTATGTAATTATACATCCTTTCTCTGTAACTCTAAATACTGTCTCTGTAACTCTAAATACTGACTCTGTAACTCTAAATCATGTCTCTGTAACTCTAAATCATGTCTCTGTAACTCTAAATCCTGACTCTGTAGCTCTAAATACTGACTCTGTAACTAAATACTAACTCTGTAACTCTAAATCATGTCTCTGTAACTCTAAATACATGTCTCTGTAATTCTTAACACTTACTGTGTAGCTCTAAATACTGACTCTGTAATTCTAAATCATGTCTCTGTAACTCTAAATCCTAACTCTGTAACTCTAAATCATGTAACTCTAAATACTGACTCTGTAACTCTTAATCATGTCTCTGTAACTCTAAATGCTGACTCTGTAACTCTAAATCCTGACTCTATAAGTCTAAATACTCAATCTGTTGCTCTTAAGCATGTCTCTGTTATTCTAAATCCTGACTCTGTAGCTCTAAATACTGACTCTGTAAGTCAAAATCCTGACTCTGTAACTCTACATCATGTATCTGTAACTCTAAAACATGACTCTGTAACTCTAAATATTGACTCTGTAACTCTAAATGCTGACTCTGTAACTCTAAATACTGACTCTGTAACTCTAAATACTGACTCTGTAACTCTAGATACTGACTCTGTAACTCTTAATACTGACTCTGTAACTCTTAATACTGACTCTGTAGCTCTAAATACTGACTCTGTAACTCTTAAGCAAGTCTCTGTAACTCTATATCATGTCTCTACAACTCTAAATACTGACTCTGTAGCTCTAAATACTGACTCTGTAACTCTAAATACTGATACTGACTCTGTAACTCTAAATACTGACTCTGTAACTCTAATATGTCTCTGTAACTCTAAATACTGTCTCTGTAACTCTAAATAACTCTGTACACTCAAATACTGACTCTGTAACTCTATATACTGACTCTTTAGCTCTAAATACTGACTCTGTAACTTTACATCATGTCTCTGTAACTCTAAATCCTGACTCTGAAGCTCTAAATACTGACTCTGTAACTCTAAATCATGTCTCTGTAACTCTAAATCATGTCTCTATTCATCTAAATACTGATTCTGTAGCTCTACATTCTGACTCTGTAACTCTAAATCATGTCTCTGTAAATCTAAATACTGGATCTGTAACTCTAAATACTGACTGTGTAGCTTTAAATACTGACTCTCTGTAACTCTAAATCATGTCTCTATAACTCTAAATACTGACTCTGTAGCTCTAAATACTGACTCTGTAATTCTAAATCATGTCTCTGTAACTCTACATCATGTCTCTGTAACTCTAAATATTGACTCTGTAACTCTCAATCATGTCTCTGTAACTCTAAATCCTGACTCTGTAACTCTAAAGCATGTCTCTCTATCTCTAAATCATGTCTCTATCAATCTAAATACTGACTCTGTAACTCTAATATCTGACTGTGTAACTCTGTCTCTGTAAAATATGACTCTGTAACTCTAAATACTCTGTAACTCTAAATCTGACTCTGTAACTCTAAATACTGTCTCTGTAACTCTTAATACTGACTCTGTAGCTCTAAATACTGACTCTGTAACTCTAAATCCTGACTCTGTAGCTCTAAATAAAGTCTCTGTTACTCTAAATCATGTCTCTGTAACTCTAAATACTGACTCTGTAGCTCTTAAGCATCTCTTCTCTGTAACTCTAAAAAATCTCTCTGTAACTCTTAATACTATCTCTGTAACTCTAAATACTGATTCTGTAACTCTAAATACTGATTGTAGAACTCTAAATCATGTCTCTGTAACTCTAAATACTGACTCTGTAACTCTAAATTCTGACTCTGTAACTCTTAAGCATGCCTCTGTAACTCTAAATAATGACTCTGTAACTCTAAATACTGACTCTGCAACTCTTAATACTGACTCTGTACCTCTAAATACTGACTCTGTAACTCTAAATCCTGACTCTGTAACTCTAAATACTGACTCTGTAACTCTAAATCATGTCTCTGTAACTCTAAATACTGACTCTGTAGCTCTAAATCATGTCTCTGTAACTCTAAATACTGACTCTGTAACTCTAAATATTGTCTACGTAGCTCTAAATACTGACTCTGTAACTCTAAATCCTAACTCTGTAGCACTAAATACTGACTGACTCTGTAACTCTAAATCATGTCTCTGTAACTCTACATCATGTCTCTGTAACTCTAAATATTGACTCTGTAGCTCTTAAGCATGTCTCTGTAACTCTAAAGCATCTCTCTGTAACTCTTAATACTGACTCTGTACCTCTAAACACTGACTCTGTAACTCTAAATCCTGACTCTGTAACTCTATATACTGACTCTTTAGCTCTAAATACTGACTCTGTAACTTTACATCATGTCTCTGTAACTCTAAATCATGACTCTGCAGCTCTTAATACTGACTCTGTACCTCTAAATCATGTCTCTGTAACTCTACATCATGTCTCTGTAACTCTAAATATAACTCTAAATACTGACTCTGTAACTCTGAATACTGACACTGTAATTCTACATCCTGTCTCTGTAACTCTACATCATGTCTCTGTAACAAATATTGACTAAATGCTGAATGCTGACTCTGTAACTCTAAATCCTGACTCTGTAACTCTAAAAACTTGCTGTATATTTCTAAATACTGACTCTGTAATTCTACATCCTTTCTCTGTAACTCTAAATACTGTCTCTGTAACTCTAAATACTGACTCTGTAACTCTAAATACTGACTCTGTAACTCTAAATCCTGACTCTGTAGCTCTAAATCTGAATCTTAAACATGTCTCTTTTTCTCTAAATACTGACTCTGTAACTCTAAATACTGACTCTGTAACTCTAATACTGATTCTTTAACTCTAAATACTGACTCTGTAACTCAAAATCCTGACTATGTAGCTCTAAATCCTGACTCTGTAACTATTTATAATCTCTGTAACTCTAAATACTGACTCTGTAACTCTACATCATGTCTCTGTAACTCTAAATACTGACTCTGTAACTCTACCTCTAAATACTGACTCTGTATGTCTCTAACTCAAATACTGACTCTGTTACTCTAAATACTGACTCTGTAGCTCTTAAGCATGTCTCTGTAACTCTAAATACTGACTCTGTAGCTCTAAATACTGACTCTGTAACTCTATATACTGACTCTGCAACTCTACATCATGTCTCTGTAACTCTAAATACTGACTCTGTAACTCTCTAACTCCTGAATCTGTAACTCTCAATACTGACTCTGTAGATCTAAATACTGACTCTGTAACTCTAAATACTGACTCTGTAACTCTAAATACTGACTCTGTAACTCTAAATACTGACTCTGTAACTCTAAATACTGACTCTGTAACTCTAATGACTCTGTAAGTCTAAATACTAAACTCTAAATACTGACTCTGTAACTCTAAATCATGTCTCTGTAACTCTAAATCCTGACTCTGTAGCTCTAAATACTGACTCTGTAACTCTTGAGCATTTCTCTGTAATTCTGTATCATGTCTCTGTAACTCTTAATACTGACTCTGTAGCTCAAAGTACTGACTCTGTAACTCTAAATACTGACTCTGTAGCTCTAAATCATATCTCTGTAGCTCTAAATACTGACTCTGTAACTCTAAATACTGACTCTGTAACTCTAAATACTGATTCTGTAACTCTAAATCATGTCTCTGTAACTCTAAATACTATCTCAGTAACTCTAAGTACTGTCTCTGTAGCTCTCAATACTGACTCTGTAATTCTAAATACTGTCTCTGTAGCTCTAAATCCTGTCTCTGTAGCTCTAAATACTGACTCTGTAACTCTAAATACTGACTCTGTAACTCTAAATACTCTGTAACTCTAAATCCTGACTCTGTAACTCTAAATCATGTCTCTGTAACTCTAAATACTATCTCTGTAACTCTAAATACTGACTCTGTAACTCTAAATACTGACTCACTAGTTCTATATACTGACTCTATACCTCAGCATTCTGACTATGTAACTCTAAATACTGACTCTGTAACTCTAAATACTGACTCTGTAACTCTAAATACTGTCTCTGTAACTCTAAATACTGACTCTGTAACTCTAAATCATGTCTCTGTAACTCTAAATACTGACTCTGTAGGTCTAAATTCTGATTCTGTCTATCTAAATCTGTAGCTCTATATACGAACTCTGTAACTCTTAATACTGACTCTGTAGCTCTAAATACTGACTCTGTAACTCTTAATACTGACTCTGTAACTCTTAATACTACTGTAACTCTAAATACTGACTCTGTAACTCTTAATACTGACTCTGTACTCTACATGCTGACTCTGTAACTCTTAAGTATCTGCAACTCTAAATCCTGTCTCTATAACAATAAATCTTGTCTCTGTAACTCTAAATACTAACTCTGTAACTAATAACTGATTTTATAACACTAAATAATGACTCTGTACACTCTTACTGACTCTACAACTCTACATCCTGACTCTGTAACTCTTAAGCATGTCTCTGTAACTCTAAATACTGACTCTGTAACGTAACTATAAATCCTGATTCTGTAACTCTAAATACTGACTCTGTAACTCTAAATATGATCTGTCTGTAACTCTAAATCTGTCTCTGTAACTCTAAATACTCTCTGTATCTCAGTAACTCTGTAACTCTAACTGACTCTGTAACTCTAAATACTGACTCTGTAACTCTAAATACTGACTCTGTAACTCTAAATACTGACTCTGTAACTCTAAATCATGTCTCTGTAACTCTATATACTGACTCTGTAGCTCTAAATACTGACTCTGTAACTCTAAATCCGGACTCTGTAACTCTAAATATTACTGCTCTAAAATACTCTGTCTAACTCTAAATACTGACACTGTAACTCTAAATCATGTCTCTGTAACTCTACATCATGTCTCTGTAACTCTAAATACTGACTCTGTAACTCTAAATATACTGACTCTGTAACTCTAAATACTGACTCTGTAACTCTATATACTGACTCTTTAGCTCTAAGTACTGACTCTGTAACTTTACATCATGTCTCTGTAACTCTAAATCCTGACTCTGAAGCTCTAAATACTGACTCTGTAACTCTAAATACTGACCCGGTAACTCTAAATCATCTCTGTAACTCTAAATACTGACTCTGTAACTCTAAATTCTGACACTGTAACTCTACATCCTTACTCTGCAACTCTAAATCTGACTCTGTACTCTGTAACTGTAGCTCTGACTAAATCTACTGACTCTGTAACTCTAAATCTCATGTCTCTGTAACTCTAAATACTGACTCTGTAACTCTAAATCCTGACTCTGTAACTCTAAATAATGTCTCTATATCTCTAAATCATGTCTCTATCAATCTAAATACTGACTCTGTAACTCTAAATTCTCTCTAAATACTGTCTGTAACTCTTAATGTCTCTGTAACTCTAAATCATCTCTGTAACTCTAAATACTGACTCTGTAGCTCTAAATACTGACTCTGTAACTCTACATCACTAACTCTGTAACTCTAAATACTGACTCTGTAACTCTATATCCTGACTCAGTAACTCTTAAGCATGTCTCTGTAACTCTAAATAATGACTCTGTAACTCTACATCATGTCTCTGTAACTCTAAATACTGACTCTGTAACTCTAAATCATGTCTCTGTAACTCTAAATCATGTCTCTGTAACTCTAAATCCTGACTCTGTTACTCTAAATATTGACTCAGTAATTCTAAATACTGACTCTGTAGCTCTACATTCTGACTCTGTAACTCTAAATCATGTCTCTGTAAATCTAAATATTGACTCTGTAACTCTAAATACTGACTCTGTAACTCTAAATACTAACTCTGTAACTCTACATCACTAACTCTGTAACTATACATCACTAACTCTGTAACTCTAAAAACTGACTCTATAACTCTAACTTCTGACTCTGTAACTCTAAATCATGACTCTGTATCTCTACATCATGTCTCTGTAACTCTAAATCCTGACTCTGTAACTCTAAATACTGACTCTGTAACTCTAAATACTGACTCTGTAACTCTAAATACTGAATCTGTAACTCTAAATACTGTCTCTGTAACTCTAAATACTGACTCTGTAACTCTAAATACTACTCAGAAACTCTGACTCTGTAACTCTAAATCATGACTCTCTCTAAATCTGCATGACTCTGTCTGTAATCTAAATGACTGACTCTGTAACTCTAAATACTGTCCTGACTCTGTAACTCTAAATACTGACTCTGTAGGTCTAAATCATTTCTCTATAACTCTAAATACTGACTCTGTAGCTCTAAATACTGACTCTGTAACTCTAAATACTGACTCTGTAACTCTAAATCATCTCTGTAACTCAAAATACTGACTCTGTAATTCTAAATCATGTCTCTGTAGCTCTAAATCCTGTCTCTGTAGCTCTAAATACTGACTCTGTAATTCTACATCCTGTCTCTGTAACTCTAAATACTGACTCTGTAACTCTAAATCAAACTCTGTAACTAAATCTGTACTCTGTAAATAAATGACTCTGTAACTCTAACTATTGACTCTGTAACTCTAAATATGACTCTGTAACTCTAAATCTGACTCTGTAAGTTCTATATACTGACTCTGTAACTGTCTTAATGTTGACTCTGTAACTCTAATACTGTACTCTGTAACTAAAATCTTGACTGTAACTATATACATGACTCTGTAACTGTAACTCTAAATACTGTCTCTGTAACTCTAAATCATGTCTCTGTAACTCTAAATACTGACTCTGTAACTCTACATACTGACTCTGTAACTCTACATCCTGACTCTGTAACTCTTAAGCATGTCTCTGTAACTCTAAATAATGACTCTGTAACTCTAAATCCTGACTCTGTAATTATAATAATGACTCTAATTCCTGACTCTCTAGCTCTAAGTACTGACTCTGTAGCTTTTAATCCTGACTCTGTAACTCTTAATCCTGAATCTGTAACTCTAAATCCTGACTCTGTAGCTCTAAATCTTGTCTCTGTAACTCTAAATACTGACTCTGTTACTCTATACACTAACTCTGTAGCTCTAAATCATATCTGTGCAACTCTAAATGCTGACTTTATAACTCTTAATCATGTATCTGCAATTCTAATGTTTAAGAAGTCTTTGCTATGCTTCTGATTTATACTGGATTAAACTTTTTGCTTGAATTCGTTATCTCTATATATTTTATATATGTGTGGGTTTTTTTTTAATTTGGTTTTTGTATTTTATTTATATGAAAACAATAAATAGGTAATCAAAGATTACCTTGCTCACCTCAACAAATGTAATCGTTAAGTAAGTCACAGTACAGAAACAGTGAAATGACACACAGTAGATGGATCATACCGTAAGACAGTTCATACATTAAGTACAATTCACGTCCGCTGCGCCGCGTCAAAGTTAATATGTAAACAAAGGTTAAGTGACTGTCCATTCTCAACGCACCAAGTGAAAATCAACACGCGATTCCGGATGAGACCTTAAACACCAAGATCCCATGTAACGGTAGGTTATCGAAAATCAACAGCTAAATTTAATCTAAATGCTGCAAGTATCATGTAAACACTTAAACTTTGTTGAGGTGAGATAAACAAAATAACACCTACCACCAATCATGTATAAATACTGAAGTGACAAAGAAATCACTTACTTCTGACTCCAGCTGGACTGAGGTGAGGTTCCTGTGACAGACACAGTGTGCAGAGGGAACTTTCAAACAATGAACTTTTAACACATTTAAATAAAGAGGAAACTGAAAAATAAATCATCATGCTTCAAAAAAAGGAATACTTATCTCTAATATCTTAAATGAATAATCCATCCATGGCAAAAATAAATTTTAAAAAATTTTAAAAAACAAATAATAACTTTACTGCAAATGAAAAAGAACTACATAAACTACCATCTACAGAATAGGAGAAAGTCGCCATTCTTTACCATCGACTCCAGACAGGAGAAAGTCGCCATTCTTACCATCCACTCCAGACAGGAGAAAGTCGCCATTCTTACCATCCACTCCAAACAGGAGAAAGTTGGCATTCTTTACCATCCACTCCAAACAGGAGAAAGTCGCCATTCTTACCATCCACTCCAGACAGGAGAAAGTCGTCATTCTTTACCATCCACTCCAAACAGGAGAAAGTCGCCATTCTTACCATCCACTCCAAACAGGAGAAAGTCGCCATTCTTTACCATGATCCATTCCAAAGAGGAAAAAGACGCCATTCTTTACTATCTACTCCAGACAGGAGAAAGTCGCCATTCTTTACCATCCACTCCAGACAGGAGAAAGTCGCCATTCTTACTATCCACTCCAGACAGGAGAAAGTCGCCATTCTTTACCATCCACTCCAAACAGGAGAAAGTCGCCATTCTTTACCATCCACTCCAAACAGGAGAAAGTAGCCATTCTTTACCATCCACTCCAAACAGGAGGAAGTCGCCATTCTTTACCATCCACTCCAAACAGGAGAAAGTCGCCATTCTTACTATCCACTCCAAACAGGAGAAAGTCGCCATTCTTACCATCCACTCCAAACAGGAGAAAGTCGCCATTCTTACCATCCACTCCAAACAGGAGAAAGTCGCCATTCTTTACTATCCACTCCAAACAGGAGAAAGTCGCCATTCTTACTATCCACTCCAAACAGGAGAAAGTCACCATTCTTACTATCCACTCCAAACAGGAGAAGTCACCATTCTTTACCATCCACTCCAGACAGGAGAGAGTAACCAATCTTTACCATCCACTCCAAACAGGAGAAAGTCGCCATTCTTACTATCCACTCCAGACAGGAGAAAGTTGCCATTCTTACTATCCACTTTAACAAATCAAAAAGGAAAGGTGACTAAACAGACCTTCCACTACCAAACCCTTCTTTAACAAAGTTTTAAAGAACTTTATAAAATTGAAGAACTTTTGAACCTTTTATTTATTTTTTTACCATTTTTATTATTTAGTTAAACAGATTTAAGGCGATATATTTTATAAATGCTATGTTTAAATAGTGGTGTGTGTATAACATGTATAAAATAAAAACATAGAAAAAGAATAACACTTAAACTGAAGTTTTTAAAATAGTGTTAGGAAAAATCTTTAACAATCGATACACCTATTTAGGAAAATTTTGTCGCCTCTTACTATTCTTTACCTATTCTCTAAAGCCCCCGATCCACCAGGGGGTTTAACCAATCAAAAAGGACCAAGGTAACTAAACAGACCTCCCACTAACCCAACCCTTCTTTACTGGAAAGTTTTAAAGTACTTTATAAAATTGAAGAACTTTTGAACCTTTTATTTATTTTTTTATTTTGTTTTTATTATTTAGTTAAACAAGAGCTAAGGCGATATATTCTTATAAATGCTATGTTTAAATAGTGGTGTGTGTATAACATGTATAAAATAAAAACATAGCAAACATAAGAATAACACTTAAACTGAAGTTGTTTAAAATAGTGTTAGGAAAATCTTTAACGATCGATACACCTATTTAGTGGAAAATTTTGTCGCCTCTTACGACAAGCCCCTATTAGGCTGGGAACCTATTCTCTAAAGCCCCCGATCCACCAGGGGGTTTAACCAATCAAAAAGGACCAAGGTAACTAAACAGACCTCCCACTAACCCAAACCCTTCTTTTAAATTAATGGAAAGTTTTAAAGAACTTTATAAAATTGAAGAACTTTTGAATCCTTTATTTATTTTTTTATCATTTAAGTTTCATTATTTTATTAATAATCGGTTACTAATAAAATTTTGTTTCTTTTTCTATTTAAAGCTAACATAACACTGTTTTAGTTGTACCGAAAACACTACTCTACTCAAGTCAAGATTTAAATATTCATTTTTTATTCATTTTATTTTTATTATTTAGTTTTTAAGAGAGCTAAGGCGATATATTCTTATGAATGCTATGTTTAAATAGTGGTGTGTGTATAACGTGTATAATATAAAAACATAGCATACATAAGAATAACACTTAAACTGAAGTTGTTTAATTTAGGAAAATCTTTAACGATACCCCTATTTAGTGGAAAATTTTGTCGCCTCTTACAACAAGCCCCTATTAAACTGGGAACCTATTCTCTAACTGGACTGACCTGACTGAACTCAAAGTTGCCATTCTTACTTTCCACTCCAAACAGGAGAAAGGTGCCATTCTTACTATCCACTCCAAACAGGAGAAAGTCGCCATTCTTACTATCCACTCCAAACAGGAGAAAGTCGCCATTCTTACTATCCACTCCAAACAGGAGAAAGTCGCCATTCTTACTATCCACTCCAAACAGGAGAAAGTCGCCATTCTTACTATCCACTCCAAACAGGAGAAAGGTGCCATTCTTACTATCCACTCCAAACAGGAGAAAGTCGCCATTCTTACTGTCCACTCCAAACAGGAGAAAGGTGCCATTCTTACTATCCACTCCAAACAGGAGAAAGGTGCCATTCTTACTATCCACTCCAAACAGGAGAAAGTCGCCATTCTTACTATCCACTCCAAACAGGAGAAAGTCGCCATTCTTACTATCCACTCCAAACAGGAGAAAGGTGCCATTCTTACTATCCACTCCAAACAGGAGAAAGTCGCCATTCTTACTATCCACTCCAAGCAGGAGAAAGGTGCCATTCTTACTATCCACTCCAAACAGGAGAAAGTCGCCATTCTTACTATCCACTCCAAACAGGAGAAAGTTGCCATTCTTACTGTCCACTCCAAACAGGAGAAAGTCGCCATTCTTACTGTCCACTCCAAACAGGAGAAAGTCGCCATTCTTACTATCCACTCCAAGCAGGAGAAAGGTGCCGTTCTTACTATCCACTCCAAACAGGAGAAAGTCGCCATTCTTACTGTCCACTCCAAACAGGAGAAAGTCGCCATTCTTACTATCCACTCCAAACAGGAAAAAGGATCCATTCTATCTGACTGACTGACTGACTGACTAACTGACTGACTTACTGATTTACCCTCTGGTGGTGGCTGATCCTGGGGAATCACTTCCAGCGGAGGCCAGCATCGAAATGGAAACCAGGACGGATGACCTCCAGCAGCCAGAGGAGATAGCGATACCGTCTCCCAGGCCCATGCAAGACCATGATCCTTCAAAGAGGGAGCTATTACAAACTGAGTGGAGGGCACTGCCATCCCTTCCGTTTGTTCAAGCTCCATCTCTGGAAGATCAATCACAGGCTTGGGAGCTGGCGCTGCAATCCCCTCATCCTGTTCAGGATCCCCCTGAGGGTGAGCTATCACAGACTGACAAGATGGCGATGCCACCTCTTCAGTTTGTTCAAGCTCCTCCTCAGGAAGATCAAGCGCAGGCTGTGAAGAAGGCAGTGCCATGTCCTCTGTCTCTTGGAGAGCATCTCCAGCCCCCACCCTCTGCTGCCTGATGGACTGCCGCACCTAAAAGATAAAAAGAACAATTATTAGAAAAGGACCAGAAAACCATAATTTTATATACCTTGAGGTTTGAAATACACTGTGGGACGTGGGGACTGGTCATTTAGATAAGAAGATAAAAATTTCAATTTCCATGTAAAATCAGGTGCTATTAAAAAAAATCCCTCTCTGCTCATTAGAGCTGAAACAAATGTTCCAACATTCGCAAATGAATAGATTTTCACGAATATTCAAATCATGGAAAATTTGTATTTGAATACTTGGTCAGATGTTTTATACCCTTATTTCATGCAAGGAATTGTGTAGGCCTATCCATTAAGTTTTTGATCACGGATAAAAAGGAGCAAAAGGAAGCATTTACATAAGGCATATTGTAAACTTTGTCCACATGGTACTACTGGCCTGATAAAGGCATGACGCCAATTAATTAATCATCTTCAAGCCAAACATTCATTAACCTTAATGTATCTTTGATTTAATTTAAATATTTAACATTGACCGCCTGATGATTATCAAAAGTAAACATAGGTAATCAGAGATTACAGAGCTCACCTCAACGAATGTTGTCTTTAAGTAAGGCAAAATCACACAATTACCCAACAAAAAGTGTACATTCCAAAATTGAAAATATTCAAGCAATTTTAATTGATCTGATGCTTTTAAATAGACCTACATAAAAAAAATTTAAACTGGTTCTTCTTCATGAAAATGTAATCAAAATCCAGCATCTGAAGCAAATTTGAGAATTTTCATCTCTTGATGAAAACTTTAACCTGTTCACTCAACCGGTAAAAGTAGGTAAGATTCTGCATCCGAAGCAAGGCCGGTAGTGTGCATCCTTAAATGTATCATCCATGCAAGTTTGGTCAACATTGGGCTTATAGTTACTTGGAAATGAAACATGCACTAAAAACTTTAACCTGTTCACTCAAACGGGAAATGTAGGTCAGATTCAGCATCCA